AAATCCGCCAGTTTGATGGCGCCCTCGGCGTTGATGAGCAGATTTTGGGGTTTGAGGTCGCGGTGCAGCACCCGGTGAGCGTGGCAGAACGCCAGCCCCTGCAGCAGCTGGAACAGGTAACTCTGGAGAGGGGAATTGTGGGGTCAGAGCAACCCCAAAAACCCCCCAAAAAACCCAAAATCCCCAAAAACCCCAGGGTGAGATTGGGGATCCCAAAAAACCCCACGGTTTGGGGCCAGCACCTGCAGCAGCTGGAACAGGTAACTCTGCGGGGGAATTGTGGGGTCAGAGAGACCCTAAAAACCCCAAAATGAGATTGGGGATCCCAAAAAAAACCCAAAATGAGATTGGGGATCCCAAAAACCCCAGGGTTTGGGGCCAGCCCCTGCAGCAGCTGGAACAGGGAATTCTGGGGACAATGGGGTCAATGGGGTCAGTGAGGGGTCCCCAAATCCCCCASGGTGTTTCTAGGATCCCCCAGGGCATTTCTGGGGTCCCCTGGGGTGTTTTTGGGGTCACACCTTGATGAGGGGCAGCGCGATCCCGCTGAGCGATGAGGAGTCCATGAACTTCTTGAGGTCCTGGTGCAGGAACTCAAACACCAGGTACAGCTTGTTCTCCGTGTGGATGACATCCAGGAGCCTTGGGGACAGGGACAGGGACATGGGGACATGACTGGGGACATGGGGACAGCCTTGGGGACACCATTGGGGACATGGGGATATGGGGACAGGGACACGGGGACAGGAAGTGGAACAGCAGGTACAGCTTGTTCTCCGTGTGGGTGACATCCAGGAGCCTTGGGGACACAGGGACAGCCCTGGGGACAGCCCCAGCACAAGGGGACAGCACTGGGGACAACGTTGGGGACAGCCCTGGGACACGGGGACAGCATCAGGGACAGGGACAGGCCATGGGGACAGGGACACAGGGACAGCCCTGGGGGACACCACAGGCAGGGCGGCCCCACAGACACGGGGACACCTTGGGGACACCATGGGGACACCATGGGGAGCTCCATGGCCACGGGGACACCTCGGGGACACCTTGGGGACACTTTGGGGACATCTTGGGGACACCATGGGGACACCATGGGGAGCTCCATGGCCACGGGGACACCTCGGGGACACCTTGGGGACACTTTGGGGACACCATGGGGACACCTTGGGGAGCTCCATGGCCCCAGGGACACCTCGGGGACACCATGAGGACACCATGGGGACACCATGGGGACACCTTGGGGACAC